GAGAGGAGGAGGGGGGGAGAGAATTGGGAGAGAGATAGATGGGGGGAGGGAGGGAAGAAAAGGGGGAGAGGGAGAGGGAGAGGACGCTAGAAGACCCACCTTCACGGAGCCAGCAGCGTGAGCATGTTTTCAGCGATTCCCTGATGATGGATGAGGCGAGGGGTACCAGCCTGCCACAGGCCCCAGGGTTAGGCACCTTCTGGGGAAATTTAAGAAACATTATAAATTCACACCCCCCACATGATTGAAAAGCTTTAAGAGGAGGGATTTGTTAGACTCAAAATCTAATAATTGTGTAGTAAGTGTCCTAGTCTCCTAGAGGCAGGGCCTTTACAGAGCCGTGCCCAGGGCTTTGAGAGCCTCACCCTCCTTCCTGGGACACCTGTAGGCTCGGGGCCCACCTAGGGCTTGCTGGGGGAAGGCCTGTGGCCTGCTGAGCGTCCAGAATAATCCAGCCCCCTGCCTCACGGTCCAGTGCAGGCCCTGTTCTGGATAATGGCATTTAGACCCCCCTCAGACAGAACCAATCTCTCATGGCAGACAAGCGGCATTTTTCCATTTGCTGGCGGAGTCCTCCCGTCAAATTTTAAACTCCTGAGCTTTAACTGGCTGTTTCTGTGAACGAACCACCTGTTCCTGTCCGTAACTCCGATGGTGCCTGTAAACGTGTGTGCTTACGTGTATGTTCAGCTGTCGTTTGGAGCATGTTGGCAGGGCTCCGTCTGACCCCGTGTCCCCTACGCAGCTCTGCAGGCTGTTAGCCCTGGGGAACTGCTGAGTGACGTGAGCCCGCTCGGTACCCACCGGGGAAATCAGTAAACTCCTCTCTGGAGGGACCAGTTCTCGGCCAGAAAGCTGGCCTGTGAATTTTGGCTTGTCCCTGAAAGCAGGGGCGAAAAGGCCTCTGCGGGGACGGCATGCCTGCCCTCACCCCACCGAGGACCTGACGCGGGGCGCGGCTGTGGGGGGCAGCTTGCGACGCTTCGTGCCCCTGCCCTCGGCCTTCGCACCAGTCCTGTGTGTGTGTGTCCTGCCCTTGGGAACAGTTTTCAATGTTTTTTTATATTAAAAACAATCACAAATGATTGCCCCTTATATTCCTATGTTCTCATAACTGGAGTATGTGAGGCTAATAAGGTTTCCTACAGACGCAGAGAGCAGCGGGACTAGTTTGTGTGTCTGAGGCGGGATCCTCAGGTAACTGCGGTGTGACCCGCAGGCAGAGCCCTACTCTCCGCTGCCGCCCTGTGCTCTCCCACGATGCCCCCCTGGCATCGGCGCCCGAGGCGCCAGGGGAAGATGGAAGGGCAGGAAGGGGAAACAGCAGTGAAAGAAAGTAAAGTGATGCTGTTGTCTGCATTTCGTTTGACAGTGTGATTTGACAGTTTGAGAGAGACCTCTGAGTTTCACTCTTTACCCAGTTGAGACTGTGGGGACTCCTGAAGCAGAAACCTGGTATTCACTACACCGTGCTTCATCCAGGCACCCTCTCACTCTCGGCCCCCCTAAATCTGCATGCTTGTCCCAGACTCTGACACCAGCGTCCAGCCCTCAGCTGCTTATCGGGGCGGGTCTCCTGTACCTGCCGACACCCTTTTCAGCCGCCGAGCACACCCTTGGGAAACTCTCTCCGCTTGCCCACACTTCCCGCCTTCGCAGATCAAAAGCTGGCGAGTGCTTAGGAGCAGGACTCCGGGAGTTCCCGTGACAAATGTTCTTTCCGACTCAGGTGAAAGAGCATCTTTCTGTGAGGGGCAGCGTAAGATGGTACCTTGGTGAAGGCCTTTGTTCTCTCCCTCCAGGGACTTTCCCGAAGATGTGTTTTTATCAGCGAGAGTGTAGAGTCAGCCTTTGGGATTAAGAAGAGAGAATTACAGGGATTAAGAGGAGAGAATTATATGGGATAAGAATTTGGTCTAAGACAGGCCTGCGGTTTTGGGTTGCACTTGCATTTGTCCGGCTGGTCCTTAGCCTACAGAGTTTGGAAGGACAGTGCATTTGCCTAGCAGGCTTTTTGTCCCTCAAAAAGGGACTCCTCCCAGCCTCGGGGACCAGAAGGCACCGTCTGGTGGCAGGAAAGGGAATGATAAAGAAACCTGGTTCCCACGGAGTCAGGATTTGAGAAGCCATGAATGCACATGGACTGCTCTCCCACTTGGGGGGATTATGCTGCTTTCAGGGGGTAACCTGGGAATGATTTGGGCTTAATTTAAGACAGACAAAACTGTTTCAGCCGTGTTGCTTCTGTTTGAAGTAAGTCTAGTTTCTGTCCCTGCTTCTCTCCCCCTTCTCCTGCCTCTCCCGCCGCCTGCCTTTGCTCCCCCTGCCTAGGTCCAAGGCGATGGTATGTACTAACTGCCTGCAATGCTGTCCTGCTGCACACACGTCCTCCGACGGGAGGAGGGGAGGAGAAATAACGGGAGAGCCGGCGGTTTCCTCTACCCGGGAGAACCCTGTGGTAGAAAGACCGAAGGCCGCCTCTCCCCTGCTCAGTGATCTCAGGGAGGGGTGGCGGGCCCCTCGCACACTTGGGCTCGGGAGCTTGTGAAAGAGACACTTGGGTTCTCATTGGGCTTTTCCACAGTTACCTCTGCTCTGGGCCACTGACATTGTCCGAGGAAATACCCGGTGTTCGGCTGGAGCTCGGAAGGGCCTGCGGGGGGACCCTGTTGGACCTTCGACAGGAAGGACCCTAAGGCAGCCACACGTCGGTCTGATTATTCACATTTTTTCAGACCTCTTTATCGGTCAGCGTACTAAAAGAATCGGGGGTGTACCACCCCCCCCAAAACACACACAGGGTAGTTAGACTATGAAAGGCCTTCTGATGGTTGTGCCTTTTAGCTAATGGTGCCTGAGAGCTGGCCGGGCCTCAGTGGACAAATACTCAAAATGAGTCAGAGGAGGGAAGAGTCTCCCCTCCCAGCCTAGGGTCAGAAAGCGAGGTGATTTTCCCATTGGTGGCTGTTTCTGTGCTCCCCAGGGAGCTGAGCAGATTAAAAACTTTTTGGGGTTATGATGAAGTAAAGAAGAGCAGGCGAGGGATCCTGGATCTACAATGGGCCACATGGCACCCTCGGGTCCCCAGGCCTTTCGTGGACTACACGGCCGCATGGGTTTGTGTGGCCCAGGAGCAGCCCATCTGTGATGGAGGGCGCTCTAGAAAAGTCCGCCTCAATGCCCAGCATTCTCCTCGGGCGGCGTATGGAGCCAGGGTTCCTTTGGGCTCAAGGTCTGGGCCCGGGAAGAAGCTGCAGCTCAGAGACAGGGCGCAGTCCCGCAGGGGCCATCGGGCGCCCGCTCCCGGGGTGGGGCCCCGCCTGCTTCGCCTCCGGCTCTGCTGGGAGGGAGGCCCGAGTTATTTCTCCTCCTCCGTGTCTGAGCCCGTGCATGCTCGTGCCTGTCGCGGTGGCCGCGCCCGGGCCCAGCCGGCTAAGGCGCTGTCCCCGCTGCTCTCTCCCCAGA